GGTTTCCTGAATATGCACAGATAGTATGCCAACAATGGACATAGAGAGTCCACACTATTGTGATTTGGTTATGGTGTATCCCAGAGACTGTGCCACTTTGAGCCCTCTGAGGAGGTGACACCAAGATGGGGTTAGACAAGCAAGAGATGGACTAGGGGAGTGCCTGTGGAGGATAAAAGGGGAAGAAGCAGGCATAGGCAGGAAAGCCTGAGAACAAGAGAAGGGCTGAGAGGAAGGAAGAAAGGGTGAGTAGAAAGAGCCTCAGAGAGGGGGGATAGTAGAGGATAGGAAAGGCAGCAGAATACAACAGACACTAGTATGGCAATATGTAAATCAATGGATGTGTAACTGATGTGATTCTGCAATTTGTATACGGGGTAAAAATGGGAGTTCATAACCCACTTGAATCAAAGTGTGAAATATGATATATCAAGAACTACGTAATGTTTTGAACAACCAACAATAAAAAAATTAAAAAAAAAAAAGAAAAGAAAGAGCCTCAGAGTGCTACACAGTTCTTAGAAAGTCTTGGCCGGGCCAGGCATGATGGCGCACTCCTGTAATCCCAGCAGCTTTGGAGGCTAAGGCAGGAGGATCACCAGTTCAAAAACCAGCCTCAACTAAAGCGAGGTGCTAAGCAACTCAGTGAGACCCTGTCTCTAAATAAAATAGAAAACAGGGCTGGGAATGTGGCTCAATTGTAGAGTGACCTTGAGTTCAATCCCCAGTACAAAAAAAGAAAGTGGGCTGGGGTTGTGGCTCAGCTGTAGAGCGCTCGGCTAGCACAGGTGGGACCCAGGTTTGATCCTCAGCACCACATAAAAATAAAGGCATTGTGTTGTGTCCATATACACCTAAAAAAAATAAATATTAAAAAAAAAGTGTTGGCTGGGTTAGTAAGGAGTCAGGCTGGCACTAGAACCTGTGATGCCCAGACCCGGCTGGGAAGATGGCAGCATAAGTAAGCACTGGGGCCAAGGGTGTGACAGAGGCAAAAGGCAGCAGCTGGGGATGTCAACTGACTCTATTCCCCACAGTTAAGTTCTCTTGAAGGAGAAGATCTGAATGACAAGTTTCTCTGACTGCCACAGAGGCCATATAAACTCTTATTTAAAAAAAAAAAAATACATAATCATTGTCCCCTAGGCCAGCATCAAGCTCCCTAAACCCTCAGAATTCTGAGTGACCATTAATTTTTGTATGCTAATGAAAGGACTCATGGTGGGGATCTCTGGATATTTTGGGGATGGAGGCTGGTGGCCAGGAAAACCAACTATGTGATTAAACAGTTAAAACTTCCAGCCCCTAACCCAATCTCTGAGCAGGTAACAGGGGTAGAGATTGAGTTCAGCCACTAATGGCCAGTGATTTGGGTAATTACACCTATATAATGAAGCTTCTACAATTCTTGAGACCCCACGTTTGGGGAGCTCCCAGTTGGCAAATGCATCAAGGTGCTGGGTGGGTGGCCTACCCAGACTGGACACAGACACGGTCTGCACAGCACCCTTCATCTTTGCCTCTGGTACCTTGCTCTTTTCTCTTCCACTTGGCCATTTCTCAGTTGGATCCTTTATAATGAAACTGTAATTCTAAGTCTAGTGGTTTCTGTGAGCTCTGATTCATTTTAGTGAATTATCAAAACTGGGGGAAGGGAAAGGTTATGGGAAATCCCCAAATTTGCAATCTATCGGCTGACAACTGCATTTGCAGCTGGTGTCTGAAGTCTGAATTGGGGGCAGTCTTGTGGGCTGAACCCTAAGTTTGTGGAAACTGCACTAACACTGGGCAGTTGAGGTCAGAATTGGATAGAACTATAGGATACACAGTGGTGCCAGAATTTAGCTGGTGTTGAAATGACATATTTGGTGTCACACACACACACACACACACACACACACACTCCTTCTCATCCTGTAGGTTGCAGCTCAGGCATGACTTCTTAGGAAAGAATTTCCTGCTGCCAAGACTAGTTCAGACCCTGGCTTTCCTTTATACCACACATAAAGATTATTCATGTAATTACCTTATAATGTCTGCCCCATCAATTAGACAGTGAGTTTCATAAGGTCTTTTTTGTTGAATGGTTATTTATTCCTATGCTTAAAATTATCGAGAGCGAAAGATCCTCTTATTATAGGGCTGTTGTGAGGACTGAGTATGTGAAATGCATCATTACACAGTAAGCACTACATAAGGATTTGCTGCTATTATTGCTCATCTTTAAGTCTCTACAGTACTCAATATAAAGCCAGCCACAAATATGTTAAGGTAAACTAAATCTATATATAAATTATGTTAAAGGTAACTGCAGTAAAATTCTACATTATGGTTTCATTTTCAAAATACCTTTTTATTTCCTTCAGACAACATCAAGCTAAAGGACCACATCCTGCTATGATAATAGACAAGTATTGGAATGAAGTGAAACCTCTATTACTAGGACAGGCAAGAGCCTATTGCCCAGAATGGGGTAAAAATCAAGTTAAAACCCCATGTCTTTGACTCTATCTAGATGTGATGAGTGAAAGATATATACAAGCAAGCAAAATATTGGAGGGGAAGATAAATGATCACTTTGAATTAGAAGTTTATATAAGCTTTTTTTTTCTAAATCTGTGTGAATATGAAATTTAGGGACATAATCATCAGGTAAAAATAACTGGGAAAACAATATGAATTAGTAAATACTTATAATTACTTAAATTCAAATATCATCAAGAACCTAAGCTTGCCTGATAGTCTATCAGAGGTCCTCAGGAATCATCAGTTTTAACAGACTGCCATCAATTTTTGTATATATATAAGTAGATGTTCTAAATGGGTGTTGTTTTTTTTTTTTCAAAACACAGTCATTCTATTTAAGGGTGACAGCATAGTACTTGGTCAAAATACATTTGTTAAATAAAGTCAAGGCTATAAGCTCCTAATATTTACTGAACATTTTCTTGAAGGTTAGTGTTATTTCAAGTAATGAGAAAACTGAGGCATAAAGCATCTATTCATCTCAGAAAGCAAATAATGACAGAATCAGAACTTGAACCCAAAGTCACCTAGCATCAAAGCCCATGTTACTAATCCTGACATGGGGCTCCTCAAATGAATGCATACAAGACTAAATTTCAACCCACTATCATAAAAGTAAGTTCATACTGTGGATGAACTGAATTTCACTATTAAAGCACTTTATCCTCTCTAAATTGCTTCCGATTTCTCTCTTACCCCAAAATAAAACCCTAACTTTTTACTGTTGTTGATTTTACTGAGATGTTATTTGTCACTCAACTATTCTCCTTTATTTCCCACTTCCATTAAAGGAGTCAACTAAGAAAATGGATATAAGTAAGTAATGGAGACATAAGAAAAATCCAGAGTGGCCCAAACAGGATTTTAGATACTAAGCACCTAAAAACGAATATACCCTGTCATGCTGTGCTTACCGCAACTAAGTCACATGGAAAAAGAAAAAAATTGAGAGATAATTGAAGTCTTCCAGGAATTTCTCTAATGGTCTATTTGCAAATCTTCTTAGAAATAGTATGCAATGAAGTCTTCAGGGTACTGAATCCTGGATAACTAATCAGAAAATTGCCCCTTTCTGAGCAATTTTGTCCAGCAAGATTCTGAAGTAAATCAAATAAGAAAACAGCTACAATTGCTAATGCTTATGATACAAGCATACAAATGGTTGTATCTAAATAGATACTTTTTAATAGAAAAATATCATGTAAATTATTTTATCATTAACCACTCATGGACATGAGACCACATATCCATGACCTCAACTGATATTAAATGTGGCAACTCATAGTCAGTAGGTTACATGTAATTAATGAGCTTCTATTATAACAAGATGCCAATTATCCTGAGAAGAGAAATTCAGCAATCTCTAATTGACGTACAGATGATCCACCCCATCTTAGGGTAACCCTAAGGTGAATAATGCTAAAGCCCTGATACTTTCAGAATTCAAGGGATGAAAGAAATTCTATTTATTGGTCATAAGGTTATAACTACTCCTTAGCAACCAATGTCTGTCTTTCATCTGAAAAAGAAGTAACTGAAAAGGAAGAAACTGCACATGAGACTGAACAGTTACAATTCAGAGGCAGCACTTCAAAGATAGTAATGTATTTACAAACTGTAGGGTAGTGTGAAAGGAGCTCCCTCCATTGGGTGGAAGAAGAGGATAGATGACCCCCCAGCATACTAAATGTGTCCAGGATCCTGCAGTCCCTGAACCAAAGACTAAGAATAAATGCCACTTATCTGTCCCTGCTCAGGGCACATTTCACCTGCAATCCTCACTCTTAGCCCCACTCTTCTGCTCCCAGGAGGCTCCTCTATGCGGGCGTCTGGTTGGGATGAAAGCTTGCTCCCCAGGGCAACATCTGGATCCTCTCTGTGCTCTATATCACAGTCCTTCCTGGTCCTTACCCTGACATCTGACTGGTGATTCCATTTACAGCACAATAGTTTTACACAATTAGGGGATACTTATTTTCATACCTAGTTGGAGTATAAATACTTAAGACAATTGAAAAATTAATAAGAGATTTCTCCACACCCATCCCTTTCACCTCTGTAGCCAGTCACAAACAGTAAAACCGTGTCTATGTCTTTTTATTTTTGTTTTTAGTAATGGGGATGGGGGGAGGGGAGGTGCGCTCTCCCACTGAGCTACATCCCCAGCCCATTTTATGTTATTTTTAATTTATCATAGTAAGACAGGGTTTCTGCTAGGTTGCTGAGGCTGGCCTAAAAGGATGTTCTTAAAAGAAGAGTGGGGCGGGGTTGGGATATTCAGTAAAGGACCACAAACTGGCTGATTGGAGTAGGATAAGGTAATTCCTGGATGTTTTCATTTATGCAAATTTTTTTCATTCTCTCAAAAACTCTGTTATTGGGCCCCTATGCTTTTGGGCTCCAAAGACTACGACGGTGCCTGCTAGCACGCTTGCCGGGGTCCCACCCGCCAACACAGGTGGTTAAATACTTACCTCCCCTGGCCCGCGTGGCCCAGGCTCTCCCGCGAAGGGGCCCCAGGGGCCGCCTCCACACCCTGTCTCTGGCTTTGCAAGGGACCCAGCTCCCCGCGCCCGCCACTGGGGTCCTGGGAGGCAGGGGTGGCGCCGAGCCTGGAGCCCACCACTTTACTGCGGGTGTACATGGTTCAGAGCCCGCGGTCCTGGTCCGGGGCCGCCGCGCTGCGGGAGGGATGCAGGCTGGGACGCTGGGCGAGTCTCGAGAGGGGATTCCAAAGAGCAGAGGCAGCGGTTTTAACAGCTGAGTTTCGATTTCTCCCTACTAGCCACAGGTTGCGCCCGCCCGGGAGAATTTCCCCATTTATGCTCCTCCCAGGCGCCCTCTGACCTTAGTGCAGGTTTAACAGCTGGGCCGCGACCCCACCCCAACACGCCCTGAGCTAACTGTCCCAGCTGCAGGTGAGTTGGCTTAAGGTCTCACAACCACCTGAGAGCTGAGAAGGATCCTTAGGATCCACCGGACACTTGTGAGGGAGGAGCCTCAAAGCGACTGGGTACTTTAGAATGGTTTAACAGGTAACCCTAATTGGGGTCAATGTTAGATGTTTGAAACTGTGAACAATATTATCTTGAGATTCCAGTTACAACTGCTGTTTGGTTGTTGCAAGGAAGGTCCTTTCTAGTTAGAGGAAATGGAAAGTGAAATCAAAAGAAAAATGGTAATAAAACCCATGGAGCTAAAGAAGCAAGCTGAGGACTACATAGAGTTGATTCTCTAGATAACCTTGCTGAGTAATTGACCAGATGGTCAAAAAATATTAAATATTTGCTCTGTGCTGGACAGTATGCAATGATTTCACTATGGTGTGACTTTTTTAAAAAATATGGATTTGTAAGACTGTTTTTGTAAGTCGGGGCCTACAAAACATTTTTAAAGATGCCCAGATGATTCCAATCTGTGCCAGGCTGATCACCATGGTCACAATGCTGGCTATACAAAGATGCTAGAAGGCTCTTCCTGTATTCTAGGACACTAGTAAATAAATACTAATGCCAACCGTAGTAAATGAATTATGGGCAGAAGTGTTAAGCGAGACAGAGGAAAAACCTAATTCAAGAAAAGGGACAATTAAGAGTGAGCCACAAAAGGCATGGAAGTTCACAAGAGCTGCTATGGTAGCGGCTTGGTGGCTTAAAATGCCATGGTGTGTAGTAAATTCTGCATGGTATGGTATGGTGGGAGTACCCCAGGCCTGGTCACCACGCCCCTTAGGAGCAGGACTGTCTTGCTTCATTATTGATGCTTAGAACAAAAAGGCAAATAGATCTTTGATAGCTAATGAAAGAAAGAAGAAGAAAAGGTAGTGGTAAGGGACATGGTGGGAAGAGAATCAGGTTTCCTATTTCCTAAAGTGTTAGAGCTCTATCAGAGGGCCAGAGGTTCTCAAATTGCAGTGAGCCTCAGTGTGTTAAAACTGGTATCCGCCATCTCACTCCAGTAAGATTGGCAGCCATTAGGAAGTCAAACAACAACAAGTGCTGGCGAGGATGTGGGGAAAAGGGTACACTTGTACATTGCTGGTGGGACTGCAGATTGGTGCAGCCAATTTGGAAAGCAGTATGGAGATTTCTTGGAAAGCTGGGAATGGAGCCACCATTTGACCCAGCTATTCCCCTTCTTGGTCTATTCCCTAAAGACCTAAAAAGAGCATGCTACAGGGACACTGCTACATCGATGTTCATAGCAGCACAGTTCACAATAGCAAGACTGTGGAACCAACCTAGATGCCCTTCAATAGATGAATGGATAAAAAAAATGTGGCATTTATACACAATGGAGTATTACTCTGCATTAAAAAATGACAAAATCATAGAATTTACAGGGAAATGGATGGCATTAGAGCAGATTATGCTAAGTGAAGCTAGCCAATCCCTAAAAAACAAATGCCAAATGTCTTCTTTGATATAAGGAAAGTAACTAAGAACAGAGTAGGGACGAAGAACAGGAGAAGAAGATTAACATTTAACAGGGATGAGAGGTGGGAGGGAAAGGGAGAGAGAAGGGAAATTGCACGGTAATGGAAGGAGACCCTCAGGGTTATACAGTGGAGGGGGTAGAGAGAGAGGAGGGGAGGGGAGGGGAGAGGTGGGGAGGGGGGAGGGTGGAGGATGGGAAAGGCAGCGGAGCACAACAGACACTAGTATGGCAATTTGTAAATCAATGGAGGTGTAACTGATGTGATTCTGCAATCTGTGTATGGGGTGAAGGTGGGAGTTCATAACCCACTTGAATCAAAGTGTGGAATATGATAAGTCAAGAAATTTGTAATGTTTTGAACAACCCACAATAAAAAATTAAAAAAAAAAAAAACTGGTATCTGGGCGCCAACCTAGGCATTTCTGACTCAATAGATCTGCAGTGAGGCCCAAGGATTGGCAATCCAGCAAATTTCCAGGTGATATCAATACTGCTCATCCCAGGAACTCCCTTTGGAACCCCTGCTATAGGCAATGTGGAAGGCAAAGGAGGATTTTCAAAAGGGCAGTTATATAATAATATCTACTTGAGAAAGTTAACTCCTAGCAATGTGAAAAGGAGATTGAAAAATAAGACTGAAATCAGGGAGATAAACTAAAAGCCTAGTATCATCTAGATAAGCAATACATATCTGAGCATAGGCAGTTGCACAGGAAATAGAAAGTAGGGTGTCGTGCAGGGGCTCTGATTCAGGAAACGGATTTGGGTTTCAGCAGGTAGAAGAAGATGCCAGATGCAGTTAGGATAGTAGACATGCTTTATTCAGTGGTGGCCACAGTCATTAGCTAGCCCCCAGCTTCAGCTTCAGCCCCCAGCCAGTTCCACGTTAGCCCACTTCCACAGGCCCTTTTTACATGCATGTCAAACAAAGAAGGCACATTGCCAACAGGTTAGTTAAGGGATGGGAGCACAAGCTCTCAAGTTAAGGTTTATGACCTTGATTTCTATAGCTGAATCATAGTGTTTCCGGCCTTGACTAACCATAACATAGTCAGTTCCCCACCCTGGCTGCATATTGAAAATGTAACAGCTGGGGTTGTAGCTTAGTGGCAGAACGCTTGCCTGGCACATGTGAAGCACTGGGTTCAATCCTCAGCACCACATAAAACAAATAAACAAACAAACAAAATAAAGATTTTTTAAAGAATGTAACAGCCTGCCAGAAGTCTCAGCCAGGAAGCCTAACTACAGTCATGTTGAGACCTTTCCAAATGAAAGATTTACACAGACAAAAAAAAAGAAAAAGAAAAACAAGATGCAAGGGATAATTGAACATCAGAGGCAGAAGAGGAAATGGGAGGCAGCTTTTCTAGTACTTTGAGACCAATTCTACCAGGTATGACTCTCTTAATTCTTCAGAAGTCCATCTGTATAATGTGACACAAAGTTAAGTATTCTCACCATATAGTATATGTGAACAAGAGATAATTCACATCAGTGGTTCTCAAAAGGAGTTGATTTTGCCACCAGTGACACTGAGCAATGCCTGGAGTCATTTTTTTATTGTAAAGCCTGCAAGGAGGTGGGTCTACTGGCATCTAGTGGGTAGAGGCCAGGAATGCTGCCAAACATCCTACAATGCACAGGACAGCCCCCCACAACAGATGTTATTCAGCCCCAAATATCAACACTGCTAAGGTTGGAAAATACTGACCTACATGATGGGTTTATCTTACAGTCCCAATAATTGAATGGTGGTGGTTTTTATGGTGACTTTATGGTTTTAATTTCCTGACAACTCAGGTGGCCAGATCATTTAACCATTAACCCAAAAAAGGAGCAAGTTGTAGGGAAGGTGAAAGAATTTGTTTAGGGACTGTTGGGTTTCAAGGTACCTGAGGAGAGAGAAGTATACATCTAAAGCCCAACAAAAGAGGACCAGTGAGGTCTTTATGGATGCCATCTTCTTCAAAATCATTTTTGCTGTGAAAATATCATTGGGACATTTGTGTACTACTGCAAAAAATTATTTTGGTGGTTGAATTAAATTTGAATAAGGGAAAACCCAAGTTAGAGAAAACCAGTTCTTCTAATGGATTAGTAGTAGCTATGTTTATCATACAACAACCATGTTCTACACTGAAGTTCCAAATGTGAGATGCAAGTAGAGGATAAGAGGCAAAATCTAAATTTCTAATTCTGTTCACTCCTTGTTTTATCACATTCTCAATGTGTTTAAAAACAAATAAACAAACAAAAACTACAGCCAGGCACGATGGTGCACGCCTGTAATCCCAGCAGCTTTTGAGACTGAGGCAAGAGGATCCCAAGTTTAAAACCATCCTCAGCAACTAGTGAGGCCCTAAGCAACTCAATGGGACCCTGTCTCTAGATAAAATACCAAAAAGGGCTGGGGATGTAGCTCAGTGGTTCAATCCCCAGTACCAAAAACAAAAACAAAACCCAGGTGCACGTGAGACATTGTTGCAATAGAAATCTACAGGCTCCTTTAGGATACACAAGAATGGGGGTATCTTTTTGTGTAGTGCCCATTCTCTCACCTTACATGTGCGCATTTGTGTGAGAATATGGGCTGGCTTCCTCTCTTTTGAACTCTTCTTTCTTTTTTTTTCTGCTAAACTACATGCCCAGTCCTTTTTTATTTTGAGACACAGTCTCACTAAGTTGCTGAGGGTGTCTCTAAGTTGCTGAAGCTGCCCTAGAACTTGCAATCTTGCTGCCTTAGCCTCCTGAGCTGCTGGGAATATGGGTTTGTGCCACTACACCTGTCTTTAGCTGGCTTTTTACCAAGGCTGTTATAGGATGTGTACTACTGCAGAGATGTCTGGTGGAGGGATGCAGGGGTGAGTGGGAAAGGTTTGGATTTTCCATCCCTGCTTTAACCTAGCACTTAAACCTCTTATCTCTTCTTCTACATACTAATTTTCCTTTCCGTAGGAGTTCTGTGGCTTTTTAGTTTTGAAAAATCATGGTGCTAGACAGTTACCTAGGAATATGTTTTAAGGGACATGAAAAAGTTCTGAAATCTAATGAGATTTCATTATATTGCCTGAAATTTGGCCAATTTGAGATTTATTTAGGAAATGGTTTTCATTTTAAATGCAACTGCCTCAGGGAAATTAATTGTTTATTCATTTCTTTAGGTAAATGAGCAAAAGATTTTTGGTTAGGAAAGAGAGAAGCTGTGTGAAAAGAAAAGAACGATTCAAAAAAAATCTGTGTAAACAAAAGTGTAAAATGAGGTATTTTGGGAGAGTGAAGAGTCAGGAATAAGATGAGCAATTTTAGCAGCTTGGTGTGCTTTAAGAGATAA